CGCGCCAGGTGCGACGGTCTGACCTGCAACCCGCGCTACGTAGCACCAAGTCGCGACCTCGGTAACCGACAGAAACTACGTTACCACGAATAGTAATATAGGCAAGCGGCTGCGCCACTTGCTTTGCTACGTGGCATAGGAAAAAAAATTGCGGCACCAGCCAATTTGCTTTCGAATGGTGTTAGATTCAAATCGATATGTCGTCTAGAAGCATAGATATGGACGGAAATGTGAAGAGAATTAAAAAAACTGTTCTGAGGCTATGTTGGATGAAATTTGGGTGATACGGGATCAAGACGGGTCAAAGGGGTCAGCCCCGGTCACTTTGGGCCAGGCCAGGTCACATAGGCCACCTCTCGTCCGATGGGATCACCCCGGGCCGCTGTTCTACTTTTGCCTCCACCACTACCCCTACCCCTACCACTACCCCTACCACTACTACTACCCATACTCCTACTCCTACCACTATCCCTACCACTACCCCTACTACTACCCCTACTGTACTACCCCTACCACTACCATTACCTACCACTGGGTCATGTCAGGTCGAAGAATAATTGGATCCAATAAATATTTTTTTTTTTAATCAGACTTTAGATGTTCTTCTAGCCCTGCTCCTATTCGTGCCATTCCATTACGCTTAATCGATTTTGTCGGGAAATGGCGCATTGTGACAAATATGGCGCATTGCAGCGAACGCGGCGCATTTTCACCCGGTGATTGAGCATGCATCTTTGCACCAAATTGCACCCATATCGGACCATATTTGACATAACTGTGCGATTTGCGACAAAAATGACGCCCAGTGAACAATGTGACGCATTGCGGCAAACGCGGTGCATTTGTAAACTCGTATCACAAACTGTTCCCATTGAACGAAATCAACACATTCTTTCGCCACCATTTATCAAAACAAATAACTTGCCCATCCGCCAATGCGAGGCACCCGCCGCCGATCGGCATGCATTTAATAGCAAAGGTCATCGATCCCGACTCGCAATGAAGATCTGAGAACCAATCAAAATTTCATTGGCGTTCTTCCAGCGCGCCCCACACGCGCGAACTGTGCACCCCAGCGAGTGGAAACCTAGAAAAGGCGCTGACCCGTGACGTCACCTATAATGTGTGCAAATTTCAACCCCCTACGCCGTACCGTCTGCCCTGTAGGCGTGACAGATTGAACCCACTACACGGCGTGGCGGACAAACAGACAGACAGACAGACAGACAGACAGACAGACACACAGACAGACAGATGGATCCTGTTCGATTAGTTATTTAGACAAGCGGCTGCGCCACTTGCTTTGCTGCGTGGTAGGAAAAAAATTGCGGCACCAGCCAATTTGCTTTCGAATGGTGTTCGATTCAAATCGATGTGTCGTCTAGAAGCATAGATATGGACGGAAATGTGAAGATAATTTAAAAAAGAACTGTTCTGAGGGCGCTCTTGGATGAAATTTGGGTGAAACGGGGTCAAGACGGGTCAAAGGGGTCAGCCCCGGTCACTTTGGGTTAGGCCAGGTCACATAGGTCACCTCTCGTCCGCTCGGATCATCCCGGGCCACTGTTCTGCTTTTGCCTCCACCACTACCCCTACCCCTACCACCACCCCTACCCCTACCACTACCCCTACCACTACCACCAGTAAAACGCCTTTTGGGGCGACCAACGGAGCGAGCGAGAGGATGGGCCTTGCACGTGCGAAATTGCGAGGGGGTACCTCCAACTAACTTGTGCACTGCACCCTACTAACCGGTCTTTAGCGATGTGCCAAATTTCAGCGCAATCGGCCTAGCCGTTCTCGAGATCTGGAACCGGCACACTGCACGTGCGCACGTGCAAGCGGGGTCCAAACTGACTTTTGCACGGCACCCTACTAACTGGTCCCCAACCGTGTACCAAATTTGAGCGCAATCGGCCCAGCCGTTCTCGAGATCTGGGAGCGCCCCCTGCACGTGCGCACGTGCTGTAGCACCCCAACCTTAACACATGCAGATGAATTATCTGATGGAGACCCAACTGTGTACCGAGTTTCAATTCAATCGGCCCAACCGTTGTGCCGTTATTGAGGTTGCAATTTTGGGGGTTCTTAAAAAATGTCCAACTTTACCACGCGCCACGTGCGGTGGTTGGCAAGAACGCATGGTGGCCATCACACGTCCAAGTGACATTCAGTAAAGAAGGCCGCTTGTCAATCGGATATCCCGTTCCTAAGATATTAGCTTTTGAAGAGCGTCCCCACGGCCGGCCGGCCGGCCGGCCGGCCGCTCATACTCAGGATTTTCCCTTAATTCAGTATGAGACTCCGCTCGCTTCGCTCGCTCCGTAACTACCCCTACCACTACCCCTACCACTACCCCTACCACTACCACTACACCTACCACTACCACTACCCCTACCCCTACCACTACTACTACCCATGTTCCTACCCCTACCACTACCCCTACCACTACCCCTACCACTACCCCTACCACCAGTATAACGCCTTTTGGGGCGACTAACGGAGCGAGCGAGAGGGTGAGCCTTGCACGTGCGAAATTTCGAGGGGTACCTCCAACTGACTTGTGCACGGCACCCTACTAACCGGTCTCTAGCGATGTGCCAAATTTGAGCACAATCGGCCCAGCCGTTCTCGAGATCTGGAAGCGGCACCCTGCACGTGCGCACGTGCAAAATGGGTCCCAACTGACTTGTGCACGGCACCCTACTAACTGCTCCGTAACCGTGTACCAAATTTGAGCGCAATCGGTCCAGCCGTTCTCGAGATCTGGAAACGACCCCTGCACGTGCGCACGTGCAACAGCACCCCAACTCTGGCACATGGATATGCATTGCCTAGTGGGTGCCTACCTACATGCCAACTCTCAGCGCAATCGGCCCAGTAGTTACCGAGATATTGCAACAATTGCAAAAGTGACACCTCTTCGTTTTGCACGTGGCACGTGCATAAGGGGTCACCCACATGCATCGGGAATAGTGCAATACTTGGTAGAAGGAATGAAGCTACCCTACAAAAATTACCGCATGTAAATCGGTCAAGTGGTTGCTGAGATATAAGCCTCGCAAAAGCGTGACCACGGCCGGCCGGCCGGCCGGCCGCTCATACTCAGAAATTTCCGTTAATCTAAGGAAAGACTACGCTCGCTTCGCTCGCTCCGTAACTACCCCTACCCCTACTACTACCCCTACTACTACCCCTACTACCACCCCTACCCCTACTACTACCCCTACCACTACCACTACCCCTACCCCTACCTCCTACCACTACCACTACCACCAGTATAACGCCTTTTGGGGCGACTAACGGAGCGAGCGAGAGGGTGGGCCTTGCACGTGCGAAATTGCGAGGGGGTACCCCCAACTGACTTGTGCACGGCACCCTACTAACCGGTCTCTAGCGATGTGCCAAATTTGGGCACAATCGGCCCAGCCGTTCTCGAGATCTGGAAGCGGCACCCTGCACGTGCGCACGTGCAAAATGGGTCCCAACTGACTTGTGCACGGCACCCTACTAACCGGTCCCTAACTGTGTACCAAATTTGAGCGCAATCGGTCGAGCCGTTCTCGAGATCTGGAAACGACCCCTGCACGTGCGCACGTGCAGCAGCACCCCAACTCTGGCACATGGATATGCAGTGCCTAGTGGGTGCCTACCTACATGCCAACTTTCAGCGCAATCGGCCAAGTAGTTACCGAGATATTGCAACAATTACAAAACTGACACCTCTTCGTTTTGCACGTGGCACGTGCATAAGGGGTCACCCACATGCATCGGGAATAGTCCAATACTTGGTAGAAGGAATGAAGCTACCCTACAAAATTTACCGCATGTAAATCGGTCAAGTGGTTGCTGAGATATAAGCCTCGCAAAAGCGGCCGGCCGCTCATACTCAGAAATTTCCGTTAATCTAAGGAAAGACTACGCTCGCTTCGCTCGCTCCGTAACTACCACTACCCCTACCACTACCACTACCACTACCTACCACTGGGTCACTGGTCATGTCAGGTCACATAATAATTGGATCCAATACATAGACTTAAAAAGTTCTTCTAGCCCTGCTCCTATTCGTGCCATTCCATTATCCTTAATCGATGTTGTCGGAAATGGCGTTTTATGGCAAATGTGGCGCATTGCGACAAACGCGGCGCATTTTCACCCGGCGATTGAGCATGCATCTTTGCACCAAATTGCACCCATATCGGACCATATTTGACAAAACTGTGCGATTTGCGGCAAAAATGACGCCTTGTGACCAATGTAACGCCTTGCGGCAAACGCGGTGCATTTGTAAACTCGTATCACATACTGTACCCATTGAACGAAAATCAACACATTCTTTCGCCACCATTTATCAAAATCAATTTTACCATCCGCCAATGCGAGGCACCCGCCGCCGATCGGCATGCATATAGTCCACAAAGTTTTTCGACCCCAGCTCTCAATGAAAATCTACGAACCGATCAAAATTTCATTGGCGTTCTTCCAGCGCGCGCCACGTGCCAACCGTGCACCCCAGCGAGTCGAAACCTAGAAAAGGCGCTGACACGTTCTGTCAATTATAAGGTATGCAAATTTCAGCCCCCTGCGCCGTACCGTCTGCCCTGTACGCGTGACAGATTGAACCCACTACACGGCGTGCGGACAGACAAACAAACAAACAGACGGATTCTGTTAAAATAGTAAAGGTAGATGTGCAATAAACTGGAACTATAGTCTGTTCCATATCAAGCTTGCAGTCGGAGTTTCTTCGGCAGATCGCTCCTCCGCTCAAGAATTTGCGTCTTAAAATGTAAGAGCTGTATATACAGAAATTACGCACTGCTTTCAGCAGGGCACTTCGGCTGCAAACTTGAAACGGAACAGAGTATAGTATTAAACGCCAAATGCCCAAAGGCCAAACTAGCCGGGTGCACCAGTCATTCGGCATGTGCCTAGGCAGAGATGAGTGACCGACGTCAACTGGCCAGCAATGGTGACGCTAGTTGGTTGGTCTGCTGCAGGGAGAGCTGGACAACATGGACGCCAACATCCAGCTGGGTATCCTGGAGAGACGCCTGGCCTCCATCGAGCAGAACAACTTCGCGCTTCTGGAGTTCGTCTCTGCCCAGCGAGCAGAGGTCGACTACGGCACTGTGCGTGGTCACGTGATGCATACCGTCTACGAGCATAACAAGCGGCTGATGGAAGAGACGGCCGCCGGCCGCGCCACCCTCTGAGGCGCCCTACAACTCCGCCACTTCACTGTACTTCCTTCCCGCTCCACCCTATATCTCTGCCGCGCCACCCTCTGAGGCGCCCTACAACTCCGCCGCGCCACCCTTCAACTCTGCCGCCCCACCCTATATCTCTGCCGCGCCACCCTCTGAGGCGCCCTACAACTCCGCCACTTCACTGTACTTCCTTCCCGCTCCACCCTATATCTCTGTCGCGCCACCCTCTGAGGCGCCCTACAACTCCGCCGCGCCACCCTTCAACTCTGCCGCCCCATCCTATATCTCTGCCGCGCCACCCTCTGAGGCGCCCTACAACTCCGCCACTTCACTGTACTTCCTTCCCGCTCCACCCTATATCTCTGCCGCGCCACCCTCTGAGGCGCCCTACAACTCCGCCGCGCCACCCTTCAACTCTGCCGCCCCACCCTATATCTCTGCCGCGCCACCCTCTGAGGCGCCCTAGTCCCTACAACTCCGCCGCGCCACCCTTCAACTCTGCCGCCCCACCCTATATCTCTGCCGCGCCACCCTCTGAGGCGCCCTACAACTCCGCCGCGCCACCCTTCAACTCTGCCGCCCCACCCTATATCTCTGCCGCGCCACCCTCTGAGGCGCCCTACAACTCCGCCATTTCACTGTACTTCCCTCCCGCTCCACCCTATATCTCTGCCGCGCCACCCTCTGAGGCGCCCTACAACTCCGCCGCGCTACCCTTCAACTCTACCGCCGCACCCTATATCCCTGCTGTATTACCCTTTGAGGCGCCCTACAACTCCGCCACTTCACTGTACTTCCTTCCCGCTCCACCCTATATCTCTGCCGCGCCACCCTCTGAGGCGCCCTACAACTCCGCCACTTCACTGTACTTCCTTCCCGCTCCACCCTATATCTCTGCCGCGCCACCCTCTGAGGCGCCCTACAACTCCGCCGCGCTACCCTTCAACTCTACCGCCGCACCCTATATCTCTGCTGTATTACCCTTTGAGGCGCCAACATCTGAGGCGTCCGTCACTCTGCCGCTCATTTGCTCTTGATTAATCAAGGCCGTATATAGAAGGTAGAATGATTGGCCGTTTCTTTACATCGGTGACCTTGAAAAGATAACGTCAGCGGGTGCTTGTTAGTCTTCACCATTATTTGAAGTTGAGGATTTTAGCCTTTAACCCGCGAGTTGCTGGGGGGGGCGTTAAACGCCCCCACTTTTTTCGCCGGGCCATAGCATAAAAACGGCGCGCCGCAGGCGCGCCAAATTTTGGGTACCTGTAGGGAATTGATTGAAGTTTATTGTGACAAAGTTTCAAAAAAATCGGTCGGAAAATTTTTGAGATATCGAGGTTTTAGTGACGTCATGATTTCCGAGTTTTCGACCAAAAACGGCATATGTTCAAAAAATCATATAAAATCACAGAATAGACATACAGACTGAGACATGCCGTAAACGCCATTAGACTGCCAATACCATGAACAATCAAATGGCTATCTTCGATTATTGATTATCGTTCCTCATTTTCCAAAATCTTGAACTGAATCTCGGCAATTTCTCGTGACTTCTTCACGACCATGATACATGCATTTCTTAAATTTAACTTTTTGAGCCAAACACGTACACATATGATAAAGTGAATGTCACCATCGTGTTCTACGCCCCAAATTACCCATGAAACATGTGTCACAGGCTGCGAATATCAGTTTTGATTTTCGGGGATATGTGCCTACCCGGTTGACCTGACCTTGACCCTGACCTATGCATGACTGACCCCTACATGGAGCTGACACTCTTGTAGGCCTTATATGATGGATTGTGCACCGTTTTGACAGAGCTGATGACGAGAGGCGCCCATTGCGAAGTCCTGAAGTCCATGCTATTGAAAGCCCGATTTCAGGTGTTTGACCTGACCTTGACCCGACCTGTGACCTCAAAATTCAACTTTAAAGTATTCATCTGAAGCGTCTCGTCGCGTTCTTTTGTTTGCCGCCTCGTGCGTTTCGCTGCGCCTATTGGTTCTTGAGTTATGGGCTGGGGGCGTTTAACGCCCCCCCCCCCCCCCAGCAAACGGTTGGTGGCGAAATACCCCAGCAACTGCCGGGTTAAGGCAGTTTGATATAAACCTGTGGGCTCCCATAGAGCCTAAAAACTAAAAAGATAATATGCTGCACAGCAATGTCTTTAAAATCGACAAAACTTTGACACCATATGACGTCATCTGTCCCTTGAGCCCTCCTTATGTGGCAGCAATGAACCGTAAGCCCCTGTTATTAATGGGAAATGAAATACACATTACGAACGGATTCGCTACCGTGCATAGCATTGTAATCCGTCCGTATGAGGCACATATTTCCTGTGCACGGGCAATCCACGTCAAGTCGCCTGTCCCGTAGCTCAGTTGGTAGAGCATTGGACTCACGGTAGTGAGAGCCCGGGTTCGAGACGCTCCGGCGCTCGATATGTGAGACTCCTGACGGGGATGGTCTGTGGTTGGTGGGAGTAGCCGCAGCCAGTTGAAGTCAGTTGAGTAATGAGTGGGACAGGCCGTATCCGGCTTTGAAGGGCACGTTAAACTTTGGCATCTAAACTCTCCCGTTACCCGGAATTGCGCGATCGGACGGTAGGGTTGGGGTCCACGCAACAAGCTGTGCTTAGCTTGGGCTCCGGGCTCCGGCTCTGTCAATCCGTCCATTCAAACATTCGAGCTAAATTTATAAAAAGTCGAAAAAATCGGCTGTTTTGCACCTTATCATCAGCGATTTCATTATAAATTTGTAAGTGAACCCCTGCGTCGCTTGAGCATTCGGTTGATGTTCCTTACAATTTATGACGAGCCATCTAATTCAGGGTTACTTTTACAGGAAAAGTTGAGAGAGGGAGTAAAGTTCGGGGCAAGGGCGGATCCACGGGCATCTGAAAGGGGGGCCCAATGCCATTAGGTTTTCGTTAGTATGGGGCCCGCAGAATCTTACCTACCTCCAAATCATATTCTCTCAACGGATTTCGGCCACTTTATGTTGTAAGGCTGCAAAATATAAATTTGCTAAAAAAAAATATACGTACCTTTCAGGGTTGTATACGACTCAAATTTATGGTGAGTCGATTCAAAAGAGTTTTTTTTTCTAAAACTGAATCGACTCGACTCATGATTCCAAACACTTTTAATGAAATGATTCGATTTAACCCGGCAGGCAGTGGGCCTCCCGGCCACCTTCCGCGCGGTGCGGGGGGACATTTACCCCCGTATCTCCGAAACTACTGGACAGATCCGTAAAAGTCAAACGGCGTTCGATAGCCCTGTAAAATTTGTTAAATACAAGGTTGCACGGACTAATTTTTACTAAACCTACCAGAATATAGTTTCACGGTTTCATATTTAAATAATTATTCAATCAAAATTTCTTTATTATCATCTCGTAATCATATATAAGCAATTTCATAAATTAACTTTCAATTTGCTTGCCTTTTACTAGCAAAATAACTTTCTAGTATTTGGTCAACATAGTGGTGTAGCAGTAGGAACCATATCTGGCAAAACCCCAATACCTACATACAGCAGAAAAGCAGCCACCAGGTGTCGCTACAGTCGCCGAACAGATGTCGCGCGCGTCGCCAATCGCCACACTACCGATTTCCGTAAGGACGCATATGTACGGATATGTAACGGAAAGTCGCCCTTAAGGATTACGCTTACATCCTTTGCTTATAAGGTTGATGGTTGGAAATTAGGAGGGACTCGGCTATATTCGACCACGGATATGGCTTTATTACATGATGAAGAACATGTTGATAAACGTTTTTTGTGTCATACCAGCACAAAACTATTTTTAATCATTTTTTTAATAGACGTTCTGCCGTATCTTTCAGTGCAAGGTGCCGTCGGTCATCCCCGACGTTACGTCACGCCGGGGATTGCCAGATTTTCCTACTAGACTTCGACTCCCCCTGATTTCATTGACCTCGGGGTCACCGTTGACGTCACAGGTCAAGTCAAAGATAAAATGTTTCACCGTTCACGGTCTTCTAGGGAATGCGCAATAACATCGAGTAAAACGCATTTTGTCGAAAATCAGCGATAGGGCGTCAGTTGCCTAGTACATATTTTGCTTTTAGAGGTCACTGATAATACCAGGTCAGGTCATAGGTCAGGCCAACAAGGGTCAGCACATGAACCCAACTTTACTATGGTTGTATGATGCATATGTTATGGACAATTTTTCATTTCCAACTCAATGGTGCTGGTTATAAGATCATCAGGTACGGTTTAGGTCACTTTCTGGTGGTCAGGTCAAGGTCAGGTCAAAGAAGGTCAAATTTCAAAGTTGATAGTTTTGCATAAAATGGGTATTGATTCGACGCATCTCGTCACGGGGAGTCTAATGGTGGCCTCTTTGTTTTGCGCTACGTGGTCTAGAATTGCTAAAAATTGAGTTTGAAAATTTGACGTCATCAATTTTGAAGTTTTTTTTTTCGCTAGAAATTGGCCAAAAAAAGAGTTATCGATCTCAAATTTGTATGTGGATAGAAGATGGTGGGTACTATCACATTTACGGGGTGTCCCATAAGTTCGTCCTCACCTTATATTTGCATGCAAAACAGGATACATTGCGTTTTAATATATTTATGACCCGTCAATGTGCTCCTCAGTTCATGGGCAAACACATGAATATATGCTGCGGTATGCCAGCCGGCATGTTTGGCAGCATAGCAGGCTCGAAGTTAGCCCAGACTGACTTACCATCCGCCGTTAGCTCCTGGAGGCTGGAACAGCGCTTCGCTTCGACAAGCCACGATTTCAGTATCCCCAACGTATTTTCATGAAATTTGGATCTGATAAGTTGCCTGACATGTGATCTTGCGACAGACGCCTGTCACACTCTCCTGGCACCGCTTTTGAGCTTTCCTTGACCTGTTCACCGATGCAGTGTCTCGCTTGAAGATGGGCCGACGACCTCCCGGATGCCATTTTCTCCTCCAAAAATATGTTCATATTTGCGGTTTGAGTTAAGCTGGAACGCTGAGATTCCTTCCAGATCTTCTTGGAGAAGCATTCTGCATCCCAAAACTGTTTTTGGAGTACCAACCGCATCCTGGTCAGCGTCTGGACGCCTATAACCCCACAATACCGTGATCTTGGCCTTTTGCATAGGAAAAAAGCGGGACAAAACGAAGGCCTTCTCTTTCGCCTTTATGGGGCTGTTTTAAGATTTGGACGAGTGTTTCATCTCGAACATGGACTAGATAGTCCAGATGACCACATTGATGTCATCGGCCCTCCAATTTTTTAGCCTGAGGCCAGGCATAACGAAACACATGTTTAGCCATTTTAAGACATTTTCGACTGTTTTTAGTCCTCCGGTAAGTCTAAAGCTTAAGTCACCCTGAGTTATGTACCCCGAAAAAATTCTTAGACAGCTGATAATCTATCCTGAAAAGTCAGCTTATCAACTTTCAAACGTTTTAACCTTTTTGATGG